TTTGCTCTTGAGACTGTGTAGCTTAACGGAAGCAAGAACCTAAGTATCGTGAGCAGCATCGCATCTGAGCATTCTGATGACTTGTTACTGGTTACAAAGCTAGTATGTTGGTCTGTTTTGAGTCACTTTTTCCTTTTCTTGATTTAGTCAAGCAGGACAGTGTCTTCTATGGAAATATCCACATGTTCCTCAGTGTCATCTGAGGTGAGCTTGTGTTTATTGTAAAAAAAAAAAAGGATGGGGTATACATTCTGTCATGTACAGTTAATAAATTAGGACTGATATTCACTGGACAAATGTAAGCACTGTTGGGTTAAACAGTGAGCTTCCTGGGAGCACTTCAAATAGGAGTTTAGTAGCAAAAATGAGGTTACTCAGAGCCTTTGAGGGACTGTCATTTGAATTGATAGAGTCCTTTCCCTTTTTCTTTTTGCTGCTGATCTCTGTTCACAAATAGCTGGGCAGCTTAATGGTAAGAGGACTCGCAGGAGCTGGATTTCAGGCTCCCTGGGAAGGGAGTAAGAAGAATGACTATGATGAATCAAAGGGCCTGCATAATGGTGGGTAATTAAGGATCTGAGAGTGAAGAACTGAGAGTGCCATGTGGTCAGGGCATGAGATTTTAAATGCTTTCAATTTATGGGCTCTTGGTGCACAGTGGCTGTTCTCCTTTCTAATAAGCTTAACCTGTGCTCAGATTCCCAAAACTCAGTATGTCATAGTGTAGCCCTTTCTGATTTAGTGTTTTTCTCAGTGGATTGTCATCTAGGAGTTTAAGAAGCTTGGAAAATGGGAAATGCAAACAGGTCCACAGGTAAATTTTATCTACCTACCTAACTATTCTACATATTTACCTTATATATCTATTTACCTATGTACAAACACATCCTCCCAAGCTTCTCAACACTCCTAAACTGCTTATTTTGCCTAACCTGCGTTTCTTATTATAGTTACCCACTGACAATCTTTTCAAAACACAAAGAACACCAATCAATGAAATTTTTTGTTTTATGGCTTTGCTTAATGTTATCTTGAACTTGAGTTGAGGGGCTTTAGCTCACCTTAATGGATTATTTTGTTGTTGTTATTGTTTTGTTTAGAAAATAGGCTTTACTGTGCTACTCATGAGGGGACAGGAAGATGTGATTTTGTCATATTCTTTAGTAGATGATGATGATCTCAACAATGACAATGATATTGGAATTGATTATGAAGGGGTTGAAGAAATAATCTCTGAGGTTATGGAGATTTTAAAATTGGCTCCATACAGAATGACTTATTTATTTATTTATTTATCTCTTTTTAATTTATATGTTTTTCCTCTATCCCTGATATTTTTCTTCTCTCTATTACTCATCGTGTTCACTAAATGTCAATAGATACTGAGCCCTATGCTAGGTGATATGATAAAAGGCATGTTTGGATTCCAAAGAAATAAAATTACAGTCCCTGATGACAGACACTTGATCTTTGTCTCACCAAAAGGAAGAAACTCCTAAAATTCTGTAGAAGGTTTATAGTGTACTTCTAAATTCATGTCTATCTGGAACCTGTGAATGTGACTTTACTTGAAAATGGGGTCTATACAGATGTAAGATGAAGTCATACCAAATTAGAAGGCAATTTGGACACAGACAGAGAGGGAAGAGAAGGCTTTGTGACCACAGAGGCAGGGCCTGGAGTGATCCAGTTGCTTGCGAGCCAAGGAATGCCCCGAATTGCCAGCAACCCTAGAAGCCAGGAAGAGGCATGGGAGGATTTTCCCCCAGAACCTTCAGAAGGAGCACGGCCCTATCAGCAGTTTAATTTCAAACTTTTGGACTCCAGACTCTGAGAGAATAAGTTTCTACACTTTTAAGGGATTCTCCTACCACATATGCAAATGCTAGAGCTTCGCTATTCCAACCTCCCCTAAAGCTCACGAACAGTCAGACACACTCACCTTAGACCTGAACCTAAAGCTACTGATGGGAAGATGCAGGGACTGCAGGGGAGATGGCCATGTGATGGTCAGGACAGATACACCCAGGCCCTGGAGGCAGCGGTGCAGGTGACCTTGGGCCCAAGCAACTCAGTCTGCCGGGCTGGCAGCCTCAGTGCCAGACCCTGGTTTTCTGGGTCCCAGTCAAATACCTACTGTTGTTCTCATATAACTTTTTGGGGTGAACTTAACCAGAGTAGATTCCTCGTACTTATGAGGAAATTCTGGCTGATAGTGCATCTTGCTTTTTAAATTCAACATTAGATTGTAAGCAAACTCTATCATGTTACACATCTCTGACCATCCTTTACAATTGTTGGATAATATTCAGTTGTGTTGGTGTACAATGATAGATGCAGTCTTCCTTCTGTTAGAAAAGTAGGTCGTTTCAAAACACAAACCTGCAAGGGATATATTTGTGTGTATAACTGGTTTTGCCCTTGTATTATTTTGTTAATGAAAATTACAAGAAATATATCCATTGGGTCAAAGAGTGTGAACTCCATATATCACTGTGCTTTCCCAAGTAGTAATCACGATTTATACTGCTGCCAGCTCTGTAGGAAGTGATCATTTTATTGCGTTTTTATTTGCATGGAGGGGTATTATCAATGGCAAGTAATTTCTACTATCTTCCTGGGTGAAAAACAGTCCCTCAGTGTTTTTATTTTTAATTCTCTGATTACTGGTGAGAATTGTTCCCTTATTTTGTCACTCGTTGGGATTTCCACTGCCTTTTCTGTTCATGAGGCAGGAACTTAAAATAGACACATCTAAGTCCTGGCTGGTTTGGCTCAATGGATAGAGCATCGGCCTGCAGACCAAAGGGTCCCGGGTTGGATTCTGGTTGAGGGCACAAACCTTGGTTGCGGGCTCCTCCCTGGCACAGACCCTCGTCAGGCCAAGTTCAGGAGGCAACCAATCGATGTGAGACAAATTGATGTTTCTCTCTGTCTTTCCCTCTCTCTTCCACTCTCTCTAAAAGTCAATGGAGAAATATCCTCGGGTGAGGATTAAAAAAACAACAACAACACATATAAGCATGGGATGAGCATCTTAGCAAGGTTACAAGTCCAAAATCACTACACCCATTTAAGCAGACTGGGCAACTTGATAAGGGTAGGGATTAAAGAGGTACAGATACAACCAAATCTTTCAGTCCTGAGACTTTTTAATTCTTTTCGGGAGAAAAGAAACACAGAAGCATGTGATGCCTGCAAGTGTTAAATTTGGAGTGGCAGAATCACCAAGGAACAAGTCTTTCCCTTTTAGGTTTTGCCCCAATGCCCTCGCTTCTTTTTAAAATATATGTTTTTCCCACCCCAGGAAACTAAATCTTTGTAACATTTTTCTAATGGTCACTTTCTGATTAGCACCTTTGAAGAACTGCCAAGTTTTAACCTGGCCTTTTCTTTCCTTCATCTCAAAGGTCTTAAGATCCAGCCTGTATCTTGTGGTTTCTATGTTGATATCTCACCAGTGGGTGGCAGCCTATTGCTTTCAAGAGAGGTAGCTGCAAGTGTTTGTGTGTGGAGTTAGGGGAGTATGGTGTGTTTAAGAGATAACTGGAGTTCTGGGGCAGATAAATCTATTGAATCTACTCAGGAGCAGGATCAATTTGGCAGTGTGCTTGAACAACTTCTAATAAAGACTGCTTAAAAAAACATGTATTGCACGAACTTTAGGATTATTCCTGGGAACTTTGTTTGATATATATATATATATTGCTTCCATACTCTCACAAAGAGTTTTTACTCTATTAATACGTTTCAGTGAATGGGGAAGCCAGGCTATAATAGTTGACCTCACTAACCAGTGTATGGACAAGTTTGTCATTAATTCCAAACAAGCTCAAACCAATCTAGAGGGAGGTAGGGAGCCTGAGGGTATGGAAAGAGCAACAGATGAGAAAATAAACCCAGTTCTAGCTCTCAGGGATTGGGTGGATTCCTTAAGCCTCTGGGTAGGAGATTTTTAAATATAAAATGAGAGGGCAGGACTGGACAACCTCCTGGGCCATTTCATGCTCAAAATTCTGTGAGGCTTTTCTTTCCTGTTTAAAACTTTTCCAGGCAATCTAACCCCACATTTTAAAAATTTAATCTTTCCTTAAAAGGGCTTGGGATGCATAACGTGTTTTATATTTTCCTCACATTTCTCTCACTGGGAACATCAACATATCCCTCCCCTGGATCCCTTTCCCTGAGGATTTTGCTGCACAGGAAGGTGTCCCTTGTGAGAAAGTCCATAACCTGAGGAAGCATTCTCATCGACTATTTGTGCCTCTTTTACTTGGCTGAGAGAGCCCTCTGAATAGCCTGCTTAGGTCCATTAGGTTGTTAAAAAGCAATTCATTCATTCAACAAATACTCAGTGAGCACCTACTGAGTCCCAGGTTCTCTCCCAGGTGCGGTAGTGCTTCCCAAGGACTATTTGAGAATCTACTTTTCTCTGACTTGGAGGAGATTTTAGCAGAAATAGATGCTGCTGAGAATTTTTCCTTCATGCAGCCTTGCAGTCTTGGGGAAGGAACAACAATAAGAACACAACAACAATGGAACAACCACTTTGGGGTGCTAACAGCTCTGGAGAATGGAACAAAAGGTCTTGTAATAATGATACCTGACAGCCTACTAATTCCTCTCACACCCATGACCTCAAACCTACCATTTGTAGTGAGCTATGTAAATGTCATGCCATTAGTTCTTCAGGAGAATCTCATGGGCTGAGTTCTATTGACCCTCATTTTGTAGGTGTGGAAACTCAGGCACAGAGAGGTGAGGTAAGTAATTTTCTCTGGGGCACTTAGCTAGTAGGTTCCAATTCATATCTGACTCAAGTCATGTCTGTCTTGAGTCAGACACTGCTTCTTCCACTGAGAGGGAGTTACAATCTGACTGTTCTTGCATTACAGATGAGAAGACAGAGGGTCTGAGAGGCTAAGCACCTCAGCTTAGGCTCTTCAGGGATAAGCTCAAAGCTTTGACTCTCAATGTCTGTTTCCTGTTCCAAGCCTGCCCTCACTACATGCTAGACCAGTGGTCGGCAAACTCATTAGTCAACAGAGCCAAATATCAACAGTGCAACGATTGAAATTTCTTTTGAGAGCCAAATTTTTTAAACTTAAACTATATAGGTAGATACACTGTTATGAACTTAATTAAGGGTATGCCTAAGGCTTAGGAAGAGCCACACTCAAGGGGCCAAAGAGCCGCATGTGGCTCGCGAGCCGCAGTTTGCCGACCACTGTGCTAGACTTTTGGTTTATTCCTTTGGCTGCAAGTGAACTTGATGGTGTGGGGTTGGTGATTCTGAGGGTAAGGACCAGAACTACAAATAAACAACAGTGGCCATGCCACAACTTTCTTTAGTGTCAGGGTTTTAGTCTCCTAAAAAACAAAGTAGCCTTTTCTACTTCTCTCTACTCCTCTGTTTACCTCTGAGAAGTGGGCATCATGTTCTTTGTACTGCACAGACCACAGGTATTTAAAAATATCCTGAATTTAAATTTGTCTTGGCCAAGTTTCCAGAGTATATACTGGCATTTCCACCCTGGGGGCAATGAACTCAACTTTGGTAACTGAGCTGAACTAGAAAAGTGGGGATTGAGGTCAGGGGATGGGGTGTTGGCATGTACTTGTGTGTAGAGCACATGAAAAGAAAAGCAAAAGGTGACTACAAAGTTAAATTCCAAATGGATTTAAAGGCCTAAATGTGAAAAGTAAAATTTTGAACATTTAGAAGAAAATACAGGGACTATTTTATCAGAACTAGGAAGAATTTATCTTAATGACATAAACAGTCCAAACCATAAAGGACAATATTCAGAAGTTTGTCTTCACTAAATTAAAACATCTTCAGGTGTATAGAAAATAAAAACACACACACACCTACTTATCTAAAAACACAGGAAGTGAATCAAAAGCAAGCTGAAGATAGGGGGAATATTTGAAATGCATAAAACAGAAGACAAATGACCTGAATTTGAGAAATAAAACTCCAACAGATCAACAAGAAAAAGACAACTCAATGGAAAAAATGTATAAAAATATATGAACATTCAAATGACAGAAAGGAAACAAAATGGCCAATAAATAATGAAAAGATGCTCAGCCTCAGAAATTTTATCTGTAAAATGCAAAGTAAAGGAATCATAATAACTACTATTATAAGCAATCATTTCATAAATATTACCTTGGCACAAATTTCAAATGTGACAGTTCCCAGGGGTTGGTCAGGATGCTGACACTGACATTTTCACATGCTGTTTATAGGAGAGGGACTTGGTTCAAAACCCAAGGAGGATATGCAATGCATTAAGTTGTTAAAATGTGTAACAACAACGGCATAAAGGACTAAGAAAGGAGTGGAAGTGGATGCTATACCAGTGATGGCGAACCTATGACACTCATTTTTTTGGTTGATTTTTCTTTGTTAAATGGCATTTAAATATATAAAATAAATATCAAAAATATGTCTTTGTTTTACTATGGTTGCAAATATCAAAAAATTTCTATATGTGACACGGCACCAGAGTTAAGTTAGGGTTTTTCAAAATGCTGACACGCCGAGCTCAAAAGGTTCGCCATCACTGTGCTATACCAAAGTTTCTTATGTTATACATGAAGAGGTATAATATTATTTGAAGATAGATTGTGATATGTTAAAGATGCATATTTTAACCACAGAGCAATCACTAACAAAACAAAAGAATGTAGAATTAAGGAGGCAAAGTGGAGCTATACTGAAATATAATAATATTTTATTAATCCAAAAGAAGGCAAGAAAAAAGGGACAAAGGAAGGATCAGATGTATAGAAAATAAAAACCAAGATAGTATATTTAAACATAAGAATATTGATAACTAAATGATCTAAATACACAATTAAGCGGAGATGGTAAAACCGGGTTTAAAAAGAAGATCCAGTTATAATGAATTTATAAGAAACACATAAATAAAAAGACAAAGATAAGTTTAATGAAAAGGACTAAAATATATTAAAGATATATTTAATACAATGAGTAATTATGAGAGAGCTAAAGTAGCTGTGTAATATCAGAAAAAAATAGTCTGCATAACAAGGAAGATTTCAAGGGATAAAGAGGAAAATTTCATAATGAGAAAAGGGTCAATTCATTAACAAAGCATAACAATCCTAAATGTGTAGGCACAATAACATAGTTTCAAAATGCATAAAGCAAAATTTGGCATTACTGAAATAAATAAATAAACCTATAATTATAATTGGAGATTTTTTTTAAAAAAATATTTTATTGGTTTTTTACAGAGAGGAAGAGAGGGATAGAGAGTTAGAAACATCGATGAGAGAGAAACATTGATCAGCTGCCCCCTGCACACCCCCTACTGGGGATATGCCTGCAACCAAGGTACATGCCCTTGACTGGAATCGAACCTGGGACCTTTCAGTCCACAGGCCAATGCTCTATCCACTGAGCCAAACCGGTTAGGGCATAATTGGAGATTTTAAAACATTACTCTAACATTTGATTTAATAATTGTCACAGAAAAACTGTAATACTATGGAAGGCTTGAGCAGCATGGTAACCACCTGGAACTAATTGACATTTATGGAATTCAGCACTCGGTAAGAGCAGAAAACAATTCTTTCAAGTGCTCCGGGAACACTTGAGATGGCCACACACTGAGCCATGAAACACTTTTCAGTAAATTATGAAGATGGCTGTCATACAGAGTATGTTCTGTGACCACAACAGAAGTAAAAACAGAAACCATTTAACAGGAAGATGTCTTGGAAATTCCTGAAACTTGGAACTGAATAACACACTTTAAAATAATGAATGGGTCTGGGAAAAATGTTTTAACTGAATGAAAACGAAACAAAACTAAATCTGTGGGTTGCAACTAAAGCAGTAATTGTGGGGGAATATATGTGTGTATATATATACATACATATATATGTATATAGTTTGAAAATTTACAAGAATTATACCATTATTAACTACTAGAGGCCTGGTGCATAAAAATTCATGCACTGGAGGCGGGGGGGGGGGGGGGGAGAGGGGTCCCTCAGCCCGGCCTGCCCCCACTCACAGTCTGGGAGCCCTCAGGGGCGGGAGGCAACCCAGCGATCAGGGGAAAGCGATGCCCCTATCACACCTCTGCTGCTGCCACTGCCAGCAGCGCAAGCCTCAGCTGACCCTGGTTACCTGAGCCTCGGGAGCCCTGGGCGGCTTGGGTGCTAATGGGATTGAGCACCTCCATCTTGTGGCTGTGGGCACCACCATCTTTGAGGGCATGACAGTCAATTAGCATATTCCCTCCTTATTGGCTGTGGGCGCTGCCATATTTGAGGGCGTGGCAGTCAATTAGCATATTCCCTCTTTATTGGCTATTGAGATTCATAGATGTTTTATAACTTTCCCAATCTCAAAGAGCTGGCCAAGGTATGGAGTGGTCCATTTCAGATGTGAACTCAGCTGTGTCTCAGGGACCCCATGTCCCTTCACTGCTCTACTGTTTCCCTGTAATAATGTCTGGAGAAACACTTGTCTTAGTTAAGCATACCATAGTAGACAGTTGTGTTGTTATTGTTGTTTTCTTTTTTTGGTTTGTTTGTTTTGTGTCTTCACTCAAACATGTTACCTCTTGTCCATCTACAACGAGCAGGGCAAGTGAGAGGAACCCAAGAGTAACACTATCTGGGGACTAGTGTTCCCTATTCCACATCTTTTGGGCATTTGTGAATATTTTAGCACTGCTGGGTATGTGAGCCTCAAGTGATATCAATAAAACTCATTCAGCGCATAACATATGTGTTAGAAGAGTTCAGAGTGGGCATATATTCTCCACATGGACTCCAGTGGCTATCTGAGCAGACACCTAGTTGTTCTGAAGGCATAGACTCATAGAGCAAGAAAAAAAGACCTAGGAACTTCATTTGAGGAGGCTCCTGCCCTTCCTATGACCTGGTTACTGAACTGTTTCTTAGAACCTAGTTGTTCTGATGGCATAGACTCAGAGCAAGAAAAAAGACCTAGGAACTTCATTTGAGGAGGCTCTTGCCCTTCCTATGACCTGGTTACTGAACTGTTTCTTAGATTTAGTAAGATACCCTGGTATCTTTTCCTACTTGCTTAAATTGGTTTTTGTTACTCCAGGGCAAAAGAACCTAACATCCATACTCAAGCTCACCCAGATCATAAGTAGAGAATGGGGATTCAAATGCAGATTGGTTGAACTCCAGGACAAGCAACTTGTTTATATTCATGCTCAAATAGCACAGATGATGATTGCTGTCCAATAATAAATTCTAATCTATTGATACTTTGAAGAAAAAAATGAACATTTGTGTAACTTTCCCCTCTTTCATGTTTAATTGATTGAAATGATTTTTATATCCTCCCCCCCCATCACATTTAATTTATTTTTTAATGAAACAAAAAAAGAGACATCTGATTCATTTAGGAACTTTGGCTTCTCCCCTTCTCCCCTTTCCAATTGCACATTTCTCCTGTTTCCTGCACTATGAACAGAACTAGCTCTCGCACATAATCGGTTCCACAGTGTTCGGGGAGTCTGCAGAGGTGACTGACAGCTGAGCTTTTCTACGTTCTGGAAGCCCATGGCACTCTTGGAACTTGAACCATGAATTCCAGCTCCCCTGCAAACATCTGCTCTTCATTGATAGCTCCATCAGGTGCTTATTTCAGCTCTTCACTCTGTTGTGAAAGCATGTGCGTAGCTGCCTTTCTGAGGTTGTTTATTTCGAAATGACATGCTGGAAGCAAAGACCACATCGAGCAGGTTTGCTGAAAGCTCTAAGTTAATTTGGTGGTTTTCCTGTTCTTGAATGGACTTTCTGATACCTTCACCTTGTCACAGTCTGAAGCATATCAGTTCATTACATTCGGAAAAAATACATATTAATGTGTTCAGTAAGTAACTTGGGAAGAAATGTGTTTATGTGATTGCACCAAAAGCTGATGGGCATGCATTTCCTACCCTGAATAATTTAGTTGGAGGAGGGCGATCATGATCACAGAGCTTGGATTGCATCTGTCACAGGTTCTGTTACACCGCTTCCTGGAGAAGTGGTTATTTTTAATACATTCACACCCTTTGCTTTGCTCAATTTGTAGCTCCGTGAGTTATTGATTTTACAGTTTCATTTGCAATGGTGTCACCAGGGCCAGCTTTGTGGTCATGCTTCCTGTGCTGTTACTTAGAAGGACCCCACACTTGGTTTAATCCTCTGCAGTTGCTACCTTAAAATTTTCTTAACACATTT